GACTGTCGGGTCACCTCAAGCCGCTGCACTACAATCTGATGCTCACTGCCTTCATGGAGAACTTCACCTTCTCCGGGGAGGTCAACGTGGAGATCTCGTGCCGGAATGCCACCCGCTACGTCGTGCTGCACGCCTCGCGGGTGGCGGTGGAGAAGGTGCAGGTGGCGGAGGACCGCGCTGCTGGCGCTGTCCCAGTGGCGGGCTTTTTTCTGTATCCGCAAACCCAGGTCTTGGTGGTGGTGCTGAATAGGACCCTCGACGCGCAGAGAAATTACAACCTGAAGATTATCTACAACGCCCTGATCGAGAACGAGCTCCTGGGCTTCTTCCGCAGCTCCTACGTGCTCCACGCGGAGAGAAGGTACGGAGGGAGGCGGTGCCGCGCCGCCCCCCCCGGCCGGACGGCTCGGGCCGCCGGGCCGCGGACCCCTGGGGACCCAGCTTCTTACACCCGGGAAACCCGGAGGGGTGGGAAAGTAGCGAGGGCGGAACGGGACCCTCCTGTCTCCCTGGGCTAGCACAGCCTCCTGCTCCGCACACTCAACCCGCCGGTGGCTCTCTCTACTCTGGGCATTCCTACTTAGCCAGCGGGGCGCATGGCTCTTTCTCTAAAGGGTAACAATGTGCCAGAGTGACCAGAAAAGCTTGCCAAGTGACCACAGAGGGAAAATACCTGAGTGCCCAAGGCCAGGGCAGTGGCGCATCCATTAGGAGAGCTCCCTACTCCTCTCCCCTCCATTCCCACCTCCCCAGTCTGTGAGTAGTTCTCTGGCAGGCGCCAAGCAGAGGATGGGGTTTCGCTTCGTAAAGTTTTCCAAAAACGGCAAGGCAAGTTGAGATTCGGAGGGAAAAGAGCGTGACAGGCTGAGAGGGCGGAGACAGGGGTGGTGGCTGCTGTGGCCAAAGCCAGGGAAAAATGACCTGGTGGGAGCTGCCAGTTCTGTACTAACGCAGGGAGACTTCAGCTGCTTGTTCCTGAGTTGCTGCCTCAGGAAATGCCTAACCTAGGTGGAGAACAAGGAAAGCCCAGGACTAGTCTCCAATGCCTCGTTAGTGAGCGCTTTGGGCGCGATTTAGATTGGGGCAGTATTGTAGTTCCTGAGGGACGGTGGAACTTTTCGCCACTTGTTTAAAACTCTGACTTTGGAAACCGACAGAAGTGGGTTCAAATCCCCGCTGTTCTTGTAGCTGTGGTAAAGGTTTGAGAAAGGTGTTTAGGTTGCAAGATCCTGACCAAGACTACCCTCAGGGCTTATTGTACACCACTTATGAACTCAGTCCTAAGAGAATTCTCTGGGTAGATGCTCTAATCAGCCAGACATGTGTTACAGGTGGAGAGATGGAGGCATGAGGAAGTCATAATTTCATGCCAATCACAAAGTGAGCCTACAAAGCTGGGATTTAGACTCAAGTAGCTTGACTGCAGTGCTCATACATCAATTCTAACTTGGGGATACCAACCCAACTATTCTTGCAAGATTAGGGCAAATGTCCATGAGCGAATGCACTGCCAGTCACCTTGCCCTGAGCTTAGTATGGTGTATCCACCATCAATGTCAGCTGTCATGAGCATCTCATGTTAGTATGCTCTCGCACATGTTGTTGAATGAATAATAGTTGATTCTTGCTTTTGGGGTAGTGTGTTGCATTTCAAAAATTCAAATAATTAAGTGACTACAGGGCAGATGAACAACCAGAATGAATTTAGAAGTGAAATCAGTGGCTGTAGAATGGTAGGCAGATTGGAGATTGGTAGTAAGGCAGTGGCTCTCCTTACCTCAGGTGATTGTCACCACAGCCAGAAATTGAGGCTCAGGGCAGTCCAGAGCACTGGAAGTCAGCAGGTTTGTCAGTGGAAAGCTGGGACTCAAACTTTGTCTTTTGATCCCTGGACCAGCGTTCATGGTATTTGCAAACTTTCAGAAGAAGATATTGCATTAAAAGCTGGGAAAATTTCACTGTGTTATGGGAGTACAGAAAAGCTTTATTATTTGTAAAGTGCTACGAAGTAACCTCATGTAAATAAACTACTCCATGCTTTAGTTGTATGATAGTTAAAACCTCCTATAAGTAACTCCTAACATCAGATATGAATACTTTAAACCTCTTTCTACCACTTCCTCCATCCATGTTCTGAAGAATACAGATTAGAAGTGCTTTTAAAAGCCCACAATCATTTCAAATATGGGGGAAAAGGCATGGGAAGCAAATTTGCATCTTATGTTTAAAAACAAACTTGTTATGTCAAAATGTCAACAGTGGTAGTTGCATATCATTAGTGATAAATCTTACTGTGATTGAGATAAATACTCTAACATATCCTATTTTTTGAGCCATGCCAAAATATATTTGGCAGATCCGAGCTTGTTTTGGTCAGTGCTTTCAAATTAATAGAACTCTTAAGAAGACCAGATGTTTCTGCATGACCCATGACTGAGTTTCTGTACCCTAGTGCATATTTGTATTCAAACTCTCTTCTTCAGTTTTCCCCAAAGATGTAAATAACTTGGTTGAAAGTTTAACCTAGTGTACACATAGTTAAACTCTGCCTCCCAATAGGAGTGCAGGATTCAGATTTTTGGAGAGCCCAAGATGGTTTATTTTCAAACAGTATCTTTGAGAAAATCTCTGTTCCTTTATTCCCATTCCTCTTCAAAGCCAGAGTAAACCTGATAGTTTCTTGGGTGTTTCTATGGAGCTGATAAGGCAAAGAAACTTCACAATTACAACAACATTGCATATGTTAAACTTTTTTTTTTTTATTTTTTTTTAACTAAGGCTCCTGGGAGCACTTTTAGCCAGAGTAATATCAAGAACTCAACCAGGGTTAGACTTTTATTGGTGATGTTTCTGTCCCAAGAATGTAATGTAAATTGGTATTTTAAAACACACTTTCCAGAAGGACACAGGTATAGACTCTGAATTTTTATTTGATGAACAACTAAGTATCTTGGGTTTCGGTTAGTCATAATTTTTGCCAGTTTAATTTTAGAATAATTTCTGAAGTGAAAACAAATATTTAATCTACCAAAGGGAGTCAAAAGGAGTTACTTGAAATATTTAGAGCAACTGTATAGTTCAGCCCACTTTACTTAACCTATGTGGGAACAGTAACTTATTAACAGTGTCTCAGATTCTTCACCTCCCTCCTTAGAGATCCCAGAAAAAGAGTTTGAGTGAGGGCAGGAAAATTAGATTGCGCTAGGTGTTCTATGCCTTTGACACCTGGAAAGTTTTCTTCCCTACTAGCTGGATTTTATAGGGACCTTATTTATTTATTTATTTTTGGTTCCTACAGGGAAGACTTGCTTTTCCTGGTTTCCATAATGTAGTGGTTAGAAGACAAGAACCCCATTGAAGCCAAACGTTCCCCAACTTGAGGCAAATCCACTATTCTTGGTTATTTATTTTGCAAAGAGAGAAAAACTCATCTCTTATTGACTATTGAAAATAAATAAATTCTCTTAAAGTTGAAATGTTTACACACAGCAGTAAATTATCTCAATTAGGCAGAACAGAGATTCACTTTTCCTCATGTTGGTGTGCAGCAAGCAGATAAAAGGCGTATTTATGCCAGAGTTTCCTATAGGATGATATGCTTGCTTAGAATTAGGTAAAATATTCATTTACCTGAAGTAATTGCCGCTTTTGGGTAGCCAGATGGTGAGCACACCCATCTTCAAAGTAGGGTACCTTAATTTAGATCCAGATGGTTGGATTGAAAGAGAAAATTTACCCAAGGTAAATGAACATTTTATTCACTTTCAAAAGGGAGACTGTTTTTCTTTCACAAACTTTGATTGAGTCTACAACATGCCAAAGTGACAGAGGAACAGAATAAAAATAGAAGGTCTTTTTCTACAAAGGATTGTTTAGAGCAAAACCATGATCTCTGAGTAAAATGGGAAAATAATAATAGTGGTCTCAAAGAGAATTGAGGCCACTCGTTTAGAAAAATCTTGCAATCTTGGAGGGCATGGAGGGTTTTTATCCCTGGATGGGCATTTGCTCTTTGGCAGTATTAGTGTACACATGGTTTGATGCCTTGTATTTATTTATTTATTTTTTTGTGGAATGAATTAATCATTGTAATATGTAATAAAAACAAGAAAACTTCCACACTGTTTTTAGGTTGAAAGCAGCCTCATTTCTCCCATTTATTTTGGTGAACAGGTAGTATTATGTGAGCGAGTGGGAGTAGACAGCTCTTAGAACCTCTATCAAAGGCTCTGAGCGGAAAAATCTTTGAGAACCATTTATTTCTGTGAAAACTTAAAAAAAAATGATTCCTTAATAGACTTAGCTGTTCATTTGCCTGCCAGGCACACATGATCATATGGCTAACCTGAATTCAGTGTTAAATTTTGGTCATAATTTAAAAAGTCATCAGTAAACCAAATCTAGAAAAAAAAATATTATACACACACACACACACACACACACACACACACATAAAAGCTCTGATCATTTAATAATGATTGACCCATGGAGGAAATTTCATACAATTGGTGTTTGTCTCGGTGCCATGTGAATTGGTTGCCCTGGATGGTAATACAGTATGTTTGAAATAGTCAAATTAGTTCACATGTGCTTTTATTTATTCCGTGCAACTCCAAACACAGCCTGTCCACTCTGGATCGCTTTCAAACAAAGATCTTACCTGCCGTTGGATTTTCCAGTAGTTCTTGGACTTGCACAACATGTTTCTTTTCTTAATCTGATTTTTTTCAAGTATGTACGAGTTTGAGAACTATTGTTCAGGGTGATGATTCAGCCCTGTTTGAGGATGGCGATGTTTGATCAATATGATTACAAGAGTAGGACTCATCCCTCGAAGTATGACTTCAACAAATGATAAGAAAAAGTGAGGAAGAAATAATTTACCTTTAAAGTATACATGTTTTATAGTCTATAAGGAATAGCATTCCACCTTCCCCCCATCCCCATCCTCCCACCCCAGCAATGATAATTGTCCTTCATTCTATGTTCTTTACATCTTCCCAGAGTTACAGAAATGGCTAGGTTCCGTCAGAATTGTTCAAAGTCTAGTGCCATTCTTCTTTCTGCCATGAGAAAGTAGATATTCTGTCCCACAGATAGAGGCTGGATTAAAGTTGGCAAGGTTTTGTGAGGCTGAACTGGAATATAGGGCTCAGGTCTGTCCTCCCTCCTTCTAGGACAGTGGACTGGTGGGCCTGGCATTTACGGAGCTCTAACTTCAGTTGTGTAGGGATAGGGTAAATTGATTCCCCTTGAATGCACACCTAGGTTGACTTATTGTTGCAAGATGAAGTGTTTTTGTTTTTTTTCCTTTTCTAAGTTTATTTTCCCTCTTTTCCATGAGAAAGACAAAGAGAGAGA